ACATCGGGTGCACCCTCGCCCCCCTCCCGCAGCCATTGTGTTTTCCCTGGTAATGCGCGCCAAAAGAGATGTGACATTTGTAACCCGCAGCTGAACCACATTTATAATAATTTCTCGGCAAAGTATTACTGTGATTAAATAGACCCTGCTGAAGCAACAAAGTTTCTGTAAACATTATCGGTCCTCAACATCCGCGTCCTGCACCGGCATCGTAGCTTTTGCAAGCTGCCTTTAATTGCTCCGATTTAGGAAGTTACTTTGATATCTTCGTGAGTTTCCATGTGCTTAAATGTATAATTAGGTAGACAGACGGTAATGCCGTGTTGTTCGCCAGGGTGTGATGGATGTTTACCACTGACAACCTGTAAACAAGCCACGTTGAGAGTAAATGGCACTGGATTTTGCTATTGCCAGTACTTATGTAAATGCGCTGACGAACGTATTTTTCGACTGAACAACCACTTACAGTTGTTGGGACGGCATTTATTTGAGTCTTGCCAAACTGCGACCAGCGGAAATGGAAGAGAACAAATATGAACCTGAAATGAGTGGTTCTTATTCTTATATGCCCCTCGCAAATGCTGAGCCTTTGGAGTTTTCGCTGCCAACATATCGTTTTTGGTAAACAGCACGCTCTACACTTTCTTTCGGAATCATGGAGCCTTATTGAAGTCAATGTTAATAGCTTTTCAGAGGATTAGAGTAACAGTTTACTGTCCCCGTAAGGAGGAGGCCTGGTTAGCCCGTAGGGAGAGGTGCCCTAGCTGGCGCATGGCACCACCTAAATGAGCTCAGGACAACCCCTGTTCTGAAAATTTTACCACATTTCATCCATCGGGCTGCTCCTAGCTGTCACTAATAGTTGTTGGTCTCAAGGTTATCTTCAAGCCCATCTAAATATTCCAGGAAGAATATTGAACGTTCATTCTCATCAGAGTATGATCCGTTCCTTGTATTGTCCCAGATCGCCAAACCTTACAACCCTAACCTTAACCGACAACCATACGTATAATTTCCGTAGATTCTAGCCCTTGTTCTTGCCGTGTGTGGGGAGAGCGGGTCCACAGCTGCAACCACTTTCTCCGCTCAAAAGTGCAAGGGAACGGGGCTAGAGGGCAATGATACCCGGTTGCAGTCTCCGTACCCCATCGCGCTGCCACACGACTAGCCACACGCCTAACCATAGCCTTATGCTCTACTTGTCTGCGCCTTCTCACTTCGGCTTCTTCTCTACGGCTTAGTACATGTTTCGCTACGAGACCTTGGCATCGACGCAAGTGCTGTAGCTTGAGGATAGCGCACGCGGAGTTGGGCGGTGGCGCCGGGCATCACTACCCACTAGTCTCTTCCCCTGCATTTTTGTGCGGAGTAGTGGCACGTTTCTGCAGCTGTCGACTCATTCACTTCGGGTATGAATGGATCACATCATATGGAGGGGTGATTGTACTTTTTTGAGTTATCTTCGGAAGCAATCATGCATCGTTACGCCTTACCCTAGTTTCTGTGTGGATTTCTTGTTTGCAGCTGCGGTTCGGTCTCATCTGGAGGCGTCCTTAATCTGGACCCCGCTCGCCTTTAGGAGCACCATTATGACCCGGAACTTTCAGCCAGTCAGCAGAACTGGTTCAGCGAACTTTTGGTTGTGAGCCTGAGCTACTTTGCGAGGTTCTCTTATAGCTTAGAACGCCCCTCCTCAATCCACCCGTTCTCTACCTCAACTCTTGAGCTTGGCCACGAGCGATAGTATGACCATTTCCCTATCCTTTTACTTCGAAGCCAAAAAAAACTTTGAAATGAGTCACTTCACCCATCCATTGCATGACATATTTCCCATGCAAATGTTGTTGTGAAAAACACTGGCCACTGGTCTTCGAAAAAGTTGCAAATGTAGTAGAAATTGAATAACTCGTAGAAGAACATGACGTTTTGACAGAGAGTCTGTAATGATCAGTTTGCATGGTGAAACGTAAATTCGCATACTGGAAAGTGGAAAAGTAGCGTATTAGTTCGGCCTCATGGTAAATGGGGTCGAACTGTTTTGAAATAAACTCAGAGTACATCTTCATCTACCGGACGAATGGTGGGAAAGGTCATGCGACCGATTTCCTTTACCGTCATGACGTCTCCTAACTAACCTATACCCACTTCTAATGTTGCCAGGCAAAATAGCTGCTCTCTAGACGTTACATTCGTGTAGTGGTGAGCTACAAAAGCCCCGGTACTGATGTTTTGCAACGGGAACCAGTAGAGAGGTTACTGTCACTGCAAGGCACGAGTCCGCACTAAAGATTGCGTAGGTGATTTATGCAGAAATTGGAGAAAAAGGCAACGTGAACCATCGCTTGAGAGAACAATGGCCAAGCGAAAGTTTGAGTACACATACGCAGGCCTCCTCTAGCCTCAAACAACTGCAGAGGTAAAAGAGCGAAAAGATCCGCGCGCTGGGACGACTCCCGTCGGCTGATTCTCAATAATGAACCCTATGACTCTACAAGGCATTGAAGCATTCACTCCATGATACTTGCCCGGAGCATTACTTTTGGCTGGCCGACTTTGGAGGCGGAGTCTGGAGGCGGAGTCACTGGAAAAAGGGATGTACCACTGAAGCAACTTTGCGCCTTAATCCCTTTACCGTACAACTTTCCGCCGCGAAACTGGCACAGGGTTGTCCACTCCGGACCGCACTACCTTCCCACATAACCTCTTGCATTTTCATAGGTCATCGCGGACCGTTCCTCTAAGAAACTTGCTGATCAACCGAACAACCGGTGCTGTAGGTGATACATGGTGATAAAAGGCGAATCAGCTTGATTCAAAAATCACAGGGTCAGCGTTGCTACGAAAGAAGTTTAGCCAAAAAATTCAAAAGGTTTCTGCGTTACCTGCCAGAAAAAGCGGACTTCGGTGTGACGCCTTCTGCGAATAGCACAATTCGAAGATGCCGTGTCTTGGTTTTGAGCTTTCATCATCTGAAATAAGTAGACGTCCTGTCAATGGCACGATGAGTCCATCAGTAATTCTCGCGTGCCTCAGCCTGTCAAGGGCGGCTGTGGAACCGCCCTCGAAAGGTTGGGCACGCGAGTGCTGCCGATTTCCATTCTTTTCATTTATAAACAAACTTCACTGACGTACTTTGACGCTCTTCCTTAGCATCAAGAGGGTGATACAATCCAGGAAAACAATAACGCTGACAACGGCCAGACTGGTATAGCAATCAGTGTAGGTAGAGATGATATAGCCACATACAGTGTCAGCGAATAGCCATACCCATTCTATCGGGTCATAGTAAATGAAACAAGCATTAGCTAAAATATGTATTAATTGATGCATGAATAGGACAGAAAGTTAAGCAAGGAATTCTGCCTATGAAACAGCAGACGTTCCACAATTTGCTTCTTTAGTTATTTTAATATTCTAGCTTTTTTGCCATTATACATCGTGATCCCATCAAACGGCAGGGCGGCATGGCTTTGAGCGCAACCAGGGCACTTTTTCCACTGACTGTAGCGGACTCCGAACGGC